GTAAATGAATGTTGGTCAAATTACTCTCTACTATTCTGAAAGCTTGAAATATTTCTAAATTAAAACCAAAATTATACATACAAGGAGACTCACTGACACATTCTTTGTAAGTATTGAAGATTAGTAACAACCTGAATATGCATCCACAGGAGGAGAGCTAAACAGGTTTGGATATAGTCATGCAACAGAATACAAAGCAACCATTAAAAAGAATAAAGGGGCTGGTGTGGCTCAATGGTTGAGCATTGACCCATGCTCAACAATTGAACAAGAGGTTCCTGTTCAATTCCTGGTAAGGGCACATGCCCAAATTGTGGGCTTGATTCCCCAGTGGGGGGCATGCAGGAGGCAACCAATCAATGGTTCTCTCTCATCATCGATGTTTCTATCTCTCAATCCCTCTCCTTTCCTCTCTCTGAAATAAATAAAAACCTATATTTTTAAAAGTATAAAGGGGATATGTGCTCTTAGGGAAATATCCCAAATATACCAGTAAGTGGGGAAGAAAGCAAATTAGAAAATAATATGTATAGTATGACCCAAATTTTTATTTAAAAAAGCGATATAAATCCTATATATAAATATCTGTAATAACATCATGCTCTGTTAAAAAATAATTACTTCTAAGAAACAGTAAGCTTTCACTTTTTACTTCATATACCTCTATGCTTTAAAATCTGATAAAGAATCTGTTTTATTTCTGAAACTTAAGAAAGTTTTTCTAAAGGGATATAAAGAACCAAGAGTCAAAATCTAATATTATTGCGCATTTACTATATGCCAACATGTTGGCACTCAGAATCTTCCTTACGCCTCATTAATCTAATGGGTACATGTTCGCATTTGAACATATACTACCTCCCTTTGAAGAGAAGGAAGAGGAAGAAACGGAAGCTCTTAGATGTGAAATGACTTGCCCCAAATCACACAGCTAAATAAGTTGCCAAATGAGTTGTAACCTGTACCGCTGTCTCAGTCCATTACTCCTGTCATCTACATGAGAAACAGAAGCACACGGGGCGGCTACAAGATCTTGTAATGAGTTGGTGAGTATCAGGAGCTGTGAGCCAGGCAGCACTTACATCCCTGGCATGGTGGAATGGATGTACCTGCCCTCTAGCCACAAGTGCATACGTCAGGTTATATCTTGACCTGGCTCCTTCTCAGGGAAGAAGTGAGAAGATGTGACAGAAAAGGTGGCTTCCCTCCACATCTTGCCCACAGCTGCTCCATGGAGAGAGCGGCTGTCACTAGAGTCGTCCCAGCCAGACCAAATCCCGGTGGGGTCACTCCTACCTGAAGGCCACACACAGAGTGGATCATACACCGGCCACAACTTCCTCCCGAGGCAGAAGGAGTGACAGTGACGAGGTGGTGGCACTCGGAGCTGTGCCCTCTCAGATTCCGCTTCCAGAAAAGGTTCTCTGCCCCACTGCAGGAGTGCAGTTAGCGGACGGACTCCTGTTAGCTTCCTAAGGACAGAAACCTGAGCGTTCCAGGGAAGCACCTGCCAATAGCTGGGCGAGGAGGTGGCTGAGTCCCTGTACAGGACTCCTCGAGCTCGCATCTCTGCTGCAGCGGGCACTGTGGGAATGGCACGGCCTCTCTCAGATCTGCACTGTGGCCTGATGCTTCCCTGACCTTAGACTGCCTCCTTCCCTATTCTTTCATAGATATGTGAAGTGCACAGCCCAGGGGGGCGGATCACTGCAGGAGCTATTCACAGGACTATAGATGTTTCTTCTCCCCCACACCTCACCACCACATCACTGAGGGCCTCTTTGCCCATTTCTTTTACCCAGTACATCCTGTCCAGCTGTCAACAAAGAGTTGCAAGGCATTCTCACAGGCAAAAAAAACCCACACAATGTGAAGAGCCAGAGCTAGCAACAGAACCAGACATTCAGGGATGTTGGAATTATCTGATCAGGAATTTAAAACAATTAGGACTAATAGGCTAAGGGCTCTCATGGAAAAAGTAACACATGAAACCAGGTAGATAATGTAAGCAGAGAAATGGAAATTCCAAGAAAAAAACAAAAACACTGTAACTGAAATGAAGAATGGCTTGAAGGAGCTCATTAGGAGACTGAACACAGCTAAGGAAAAATATCTCTGAGTTTGAGGCTATGTCAAATAGAAACCTCCAAAACTGAAACACAAAGAGAAAAAGGACTCCCCAAAATAGAACAGAATGTGCAAGCACTGTGGGACAACTACAAAAGGTGTTCAGATACAGGTAATGAGAATACCGAGGGAGGAGCGAGAAACAGAAAAAACATTTGAAGCAATAACGATTGAGAATTTCTCTAAATTCATGTCAGACACAAAACTACAGAGCCAGGAAGCTCAGAGGACACCTAGCTGGATAAATAACCAAAACACACACACACACACACACACACACACACACACACACACACGACAGGAGAGAGGAATTAGGAATATTTTGTTATAAGCAGCACAGTGTTACTTGAAAGTAGACCTGGATTATTTGTAAATGTACACTGCAACCTCTAGGACAACCACTAAAAAAAAAATAAGAAAGAAAGAAAAGAAAAGAAGTATAATTGATGTGCTAAGAAAGGAGTGAAAACAGAATCATACAAAATGCTTAATTAAAACTACAAAAGGCAGAAAAAGAGTGGAAGACAAAACAGGAACAAAGAACAAGGGCACAAATAGAAAAGAACTAATATGGTAAATATTAATCCAACTATATCAATAATCACTTTAAACATCAATAGTCTAAATGTGCCAATCACACCAGACATTGTAAACGTGGATCAAAAAGTGAGACAATTATATGTTGTTTATAAGAAATCCACTTGAAATATAAATACACATATAGATTAAAATAAAAGAACGAAGAAATATATACCATGCTAACACTAATCAAAAGAAAGCTAGAGGACTGGCCGGTATGCTAAGTGGTTAGAGCATCAGCCCATGCACCAAAGAGTGGCAGGTTCAATTGCTGGTCAAAGGCACATACCTGATCCCCAGCCCCAGTGCAGGTGCATGCAGGAGGCAACCAATCAATGTGTCTCTCTCACATTGATGTTTCTCTCTCTCACTCTCACTCTCTTTCTTCCTCTCCATCTCTTCCACTTCTCTCTCTCTAAAAAAAAAAAAAAAAAAAAAAAAAAATCCTTGGGTATAGATTAACAACAACAAAAAAAGAAACGAAAAAAAAGAAAGCTAAAGTAGCCATATTAATTTCTGACAGACCAGACTTCAAAGCAAGAACAGTTATCAGGGATAGTGAAGGGCATTACATAATGAAAAAGAGGTCGATTTTTAAGAAGACATAACAATCCTTAATGGTAATGCACCAGACAACAGAGCATCAAAATCGTGTGGCAAAAACTGATAGCACCAGACGGAGAAATAGATAAACCCACTATTAGAGTTGGAGACCTGAACACCCCTCTATCAGAAATGGACAGAACCAGCAGGCAGACAATCAGTAAGGATCTATATAACACCATCAATCACCTGGATATATCTGACAACAGCAGCAGAATACACTTTCTTCTCAGCTCACCTGCAACATTCACCAAGCTAGACCACATTCTGGGCCATCAAACACACCTTCACAAACTTAAAAGAGTAAAGATTACACAATGTCTGCTCTCAGACCACAATGAAATTAAACTAGAAGTCAATAACAGAAAGATAGCTGTAAAATCCCAAAATATTTGGACAACACACTTCTAAATAACACATGATCAAAGAAATCTCAAGACACATTTAAAAATATTTTGAAGCCAATGAAAATGAAAACACAACTTATCAAAATGTGTGGCCTGCAGTGAAAGCAGCGGTTAGGAGGAAATCTATAGCACTGAATGCATATATTAGAAAAGAAGAAAGATCAAAAATTGATCATCTAAGTTCCCACCTTAGGAAACTAGGAAAAAACAGCCAATTAAATCCAAAGTAGGCAGAAGAAAAGAAATAATAAAAATTAGAGCAGAAATCAATAAAATTCAAAACAGAAAACCATTAGAGAAAATCAACAAAATCAAAAGCTGGTTCTTCGGAAAGATCCATAAAATTGGCAAGCCTGTTGCCAAGTTAACTAAAATTTACTAGCCCCTGGGATGTGACTCAGATGTTTGCCTCACATTGCCAAGCAATGAGCAATTTCTTATGCAAGACAGGTAGACAAAAACACTAACATCCTTTCCTCCTTTTTTATCCATTTGATCAGTTAAAAAACACTTACTACTGATGAGCACGTACTATGTGCCAGGCACTGTTTTAAGTGCTTAGGACACATTAGTGGACAATAAACACAATAAATAAGTAAACTGTATAGTACATTAGAGGGTATTAAGTTAAGTGGAGAAAACTACAGAGCAGGTTGAGTTATGAATATCTTTGATTTTGTTATGAATGTTTATATAAAACATATACCTGTGTATATATGCTAAGCAAATACTTTTATTTTCTTCCTTCTCTTATCCCCTCATCATCTAATGTAAGATGTATTAATTATAGTTAAGTTTATATATTTTAAGTATTTAAATTACAGGATACCAAAAAGTGTGAATATCACCCAAGGACTTGTCCCAGCAAAAGGGAGAATACCACCCTGGTTAATTGGATCATACGTGATTTTATTTTCTTTTTGCTTCCTGTATCTTCTTTTCCTCTGATCCTATATATTGTTCAAATATATATATATTTATGGTCTATAGGTACAACCCCCTTTCGTATATATAGCACTTCTAGCTCCTTCCCTACTCCTTCAAAAAAGTGAATTGACACATGTAAGCTCAAGCAACTTGGAATAGAGCTGTCTGCAGTCCCTTTTACAGATGGGAGTTTAGTCACTTACCCAAAGTCATACATCGTGGTATGCAGCCCAGCCGGGTTGAGAGTCTGGGGATCCCGAAGGTCCCCTCCAAGCCAGCACACTCACTGTGCACCATTTACTCAGCCCCTGGGCCCCACAGAAGTGAAGTATAAGATGAGATGACCCTCGCCCTTACCTCGGCCAGGCGGGAGTGCTTGTGCACGTTCTCGCCTTTCTGCACGCTGGGAGCCAGCTGCTGCAGGACACCCCTGCTGCTTGTCAGCGCTCTGGTCAACCGAGCAAACTTCCCCCAGCCTGGAGCATGCAGAAAAGAAAAGAGACAGGTTCAGCCACGTCCTGAAGGTACACGGACAGTCACACCACAAGTTACACTGTCAGAAGCAGACACCCCATGGCTTCCTGAGCTCCCTCCCCATGGTCACAATGAAGCCTTGCTGCTCAGAAAAGCACACAGAGATGCTCAAATCTGTGCCGCTTTCCCCTGCACTCTCACTGTATCCTCATTATGACTTTGGGCAGGTTTTAGCACTTGTTTACAAAAGGGAAACTGAGGCACGGGGTGCTTAGACACCTAGAAAGAGTCTAGAACCCAGATCTCTCCAATCTGGACCAAGGCTTTCTGGCCAGACACGAGAGGCAATCGCGATGCTTCTCTGACCTTGTGACTGAGCTCAACCCCCGCATCTGATCTAGCAGAGACCCAGCTCACCCTGGGTTTCAAACGAACAAGCTGACAATCGGCCATTCCATTCTCCAAGGCCAGGAGAATAAAAAATGAATTTAATCCGTGGGGAGAAAGCACGGGCAGTCTTTAGTCTGCTCTGGGATTGGGGGAAGGACAGTTGGTGACAGGTCCCCTTAAAACAAGAAACTCAGAGAGACTCGGACTGAACTCAGGATCCAGAGTCCCAGAAAGAATCTGGATACAAATCCCATCTCTGCCTCCAGCTTTGTAATCCCCAACAAGTTACCTGGGCTTAGTTATCTCATCTGTGAAGTGAAAATTAAACTACTCTACCTCCCCACAGTCAGGGTGCATTTGCCTCGTAAAACAAATGGGCTCTGATTGATGGGCTATAGCGGAGGTTGTCTCGAGGCCTCCTTGGCCATCTGGACTCGTCAGTCTATCCAGGAAAAGGACAATACTGATCTTTTTCTAATCCAGCCCACTTGATACCCAGAATCTAGGATGTATGAGTGATCTTTACTGAGAATTTAAGACATATGGGTGATCTGTTTAAGGTCCCCAAAGACAACTGTCCCTTCCAAAATCCAACAACCCATTTGCATCAAGGTTGACCAAGGCAACTGCCTCACGGAACCCCTGAAAGCCTGTCGGGGTTCTCAAGGTCAACCTTGGGGTTGAGGGTCCCCAGCAAATAAACAGAGCATGCAACTATTTTTCCATGACAGCTAAAATCAGGACAGGGCGATTTTATTTTTTGTCCTTTAAAGTTTGGCAGTATTCAGTGCCTGGCTGCAGAAACCTCATCGGCCAAGTGCTACCCTGGAGCACCTTCCCAACACAGACTCCGAATCCAGAGGACAATGCAGCTAAGCAGAAGAATGGCCCTGAATCCTTCCCAAACCAGAAGAAATGGAACTCCAGCTCCTCTGAGAGTAGGTCCAGGGATACCAGGAAAGACATCTACAGGCCCCTCCCTGGGAACTCATGCCCGTGACTTTGAGTAGAAGCTGCAGAGAACCCCTGTAAGGTGTCCTCACCCCCGTGGGAAGGCTGTCCTAATCTGTAGAGTCACAGATTCTCTGAGAGGAGCTGGTACCATAACCCAATGTCCAGAAGGGAACAATGGACACATGGGGCCAGGATGGATGGTCAATGTGGACACTGCCTAAATGTCCTCAAGTCTTCCTCCCCCATCTTTTCCCTACCAAGGAACAAATAACCCAAAATCTACAATGATGTCTTCAAGTAGCAGTCACTATATCATCACCTTTCCATCATCCTAAGGGAATAAGATAGAATGTTAATACTGGGAGGGGGGGTGGGAAGAAGGGGCCTGTGGCTTGTATCCATTACTCTGTTTCTTTCCCGAGTGCCTCACAAATCTCCCACATGAAGACACATTAAAACAGGCCGGCAGTTACCACCGCTTGCCAGAGCTCTCATCTCCAAATATTCTAAATCTCTGGCCTTCAAAAATCTCCTCTGGAGTTTTCCATTCCTTTTGTTGTCTGCATTTGGCTCAAGTTTAACTATACATTTAGAAGACATTATGTGCATCTTTGAAAATGGGTTTGCTCCTTTAATGTGAGATTACTTGGTGGGGGTCTGAGAAAAAAACAAGAGGGGTGACTCATTCTTCGGTGAGCAATGCAGAGAGAAGCGCCTGAGCCTTACACTCTGGCTCTTCCCTGCGCACTTGCCCAAGGCTCCTGGCTCAGCAGGGAGAATGGGACAGAGAAAAATACACTGTAGTCTATTCCCAATTACCCATAAGGACAGAAAGCAAGAGATAAACAAATGAAACCCCTGGAGCATCACAGATTCTTATTTCAGCCAAGAATTTCCATTTTCTCATTCAGCCTACACACACACACATGCACATGCACACGCACACGCACACACACACGCACACGCCCCAGAGCTGTTCTCAAGCAGCAAACCTAGCTTGGCCTTCATGCCTGCTCCATACCATCTGTGAGTACTTTTTGTCAGAGAGCAAGGGAATAAGTCAAAAGATGGACAGAAAAGAGAAGAAGAGGAAGTCAAGGACCTGGATAATTCATCAAAAGGATCATGAGAGCTTATATATTAAATGAAAGAGGGGGCTCAGAGAGCCTTTCCCGGGCCCATCACCTGTGCTCAGAGCTCTGGGAGAAAGGCCAGTTACTTGGCGTCAAGTGTTAAATAGACTATTGCCGTGTGTTTACCCCTTGTGGGATGTTTGTGGGAAAATATTAGGCACCAAATGATTTCTCAAATCCACTATTAGGATGCACTTGCCCCATTCCCAAGCCCAAAGTTAGGCACTGCATGATCAGAGAAAATAAAGTCATTTTAGAGATAATCAGCCCAAGTGGCTTTTAAAAAGACTGATCAGAGGGTGGGAAAGCATCTTTTAAACAAGCCTAAGTCAGCAACACTCTTAAGACCCTGGATGCTGATGGACGTGTGGGACCAAGACGCCGCCGCTGGACCTGTGGGATCTCACAATGAGAGAGCACGTCCAAGGAGAAATGTCAAGTCAGAGAGCAACCCAGCCACAGGACAGCACATTTTCCATCTCGACTTGGTCCTTGAGGCCAGAACTGCAGTTTATAGGCTTATGAACAAGGCCTGGAGAATGATCACGTTCTTCTATCATAAACAGACGAGTATAAAATTTGACCTTGTCCTAAGCAGACCACCAAATCAGCGTGGGCCAGGGGCACAGCGACATGACAAGTGGGAGGGTCTACACATATCTGCCATGGCTTTTGAAATGGACAGGCTTATAAAGCATGTCCGGGAGGAGACGTTAGGCATGATCCACTAGCAGCATGCCGACATTGAGGTCGAAAGTGTGTGTGCGCGCGCGTGTGTGTGTGTGTGTGTGTGTGAAGGAAATACATCATTGAAGCAGGTTAAATGAAGTGGAACATTTTATTTCTGAAAAATAAACCTAAGTGAGTCTCACCACATCACTCATATAAGTGAGTCTCATTTATCACACAAATTGTGACTTATCTCTTCTTTCAGGTTTCATGAGAATCAAATGCAGACAACAGGTGACATGTGAGGCGTGTTCTCTATTGAGTATGCCTTTCCCACTAAATAGCACCTACATGTCACCTGAAAATGTTCCAGTGGTGGTGAAAACATTCTGGCTCGACCTAATCACGCAGTTTACGTTGTTAAGAGAAAGCTTGCAAAAATAAGTGTCACAATATCTGATTACCTTTAAAATATTATTTGTGAGTTTATTCAGTTAAAGCAAATGGCCTTTCTAGGTGGCAGCAAGATGTCACTTAATCATGAGGGAGCCTATCACCAAGTAATAGCTCTTGCACTGAGAAATCTTCCAGTCAGAAACTAGAAAGCAGGGAATCCCACATCTGCAGGAGAAAGGGAGCCTGCAGGAGGCCGAGACACTGGTGGGAGACTTCACATCTGCTGTAGTCTTAAACCAAAAGGCAGGCTGAAATTGATTTACTACACTATCAGTAAAAAAAAATGGACTGGTATACACAGCACTATGCTCTGAGCTCTGTAAATGTGAGTATCCAAATGTGCTAGGATTTTAAATATCCTCACGGTACACAGCCCCTGAGAGCATCCACATAATTAATGCTTTTTAGTTCCTCCTATAATTCCCATTTAACAATCACAATTTGGTCACATCGAGAATAATAGGCCCCAGTTTGCCTCCTCTGGGTTCCACTCTCATCTCTCTGCTGTGTCGCAGGAAACCATGGGCGCAGAGCTCTCTGGCAGAGCTGGGAAGTCAACCACAGGCACAGAGCCAGGGAGCACTGCAGTATGAATGCGCCCCTAGCCTCCCAGTTACCATGAGTAGACGCTTTGGAAGAGGGATGGAAAAGAATGCCATGACACCCTCGAATCCCAAACCTCTGGGAACAACGTGCCATCTTTTATATATCCTGATGAGTGGGCCTCTTCAGGGGGGCAGTTGTTCTAGAAATCTGAGCCGTCTCCTTTCCTAATCACCAATATTATTCAAACGATGCATGCATGTGGTATGGCTGAGGTGTATGGTAACATCTGTGGTCACAGCTGATTAAATGACACACATGGAAATGTTACTCATGCTCATTAATAGCATGTTTCAAATAAATGAAATGGCTGCAGACTTACTCAACCACACTGATAGAAATGGGCTAAAATCTACTTTAACAATCTTGAAATCCTAGAACTCAGTCAAATTTAAAGATGTGTGTATATATAAAGATGAATGTGGCCAAGGACTACCTCATTTAGGTGACTGACATCTGTCATGTGAAAACCCAAGAGGATTCTGATGAGGCCAGAGATGCCCAACTACCTTCTTCTAAACTTCATTGGAAAGGATTGATCTGAACAGGTATAAAACTGATTCAGATGCTTCCCTAAACAAAGCTTTTATTCTCCCCTTCTCCTCCCTCAATACATTCCAGAGCAATAAAATGCTTTACTATCAAAGTTTAAATCTTGATCTTTGTGCAGAGATTTCCTTGGCAACCTCAAATTCTCTGTAATGAGGTTCACAATGCAGGCAAAAAAAAAAAGCCACAAATATACAAATCAGAATTACAAACCTTTACATGAATCATCTTCAATTGGCTGTTTGAAAGCTGTTATGTCACTGAAAGTGCAAAGAAATAAAACCACTTTATCCTGTTCGTTTCGAATTGGAGCAATTTTCACAAAGAACCACACAGGTGTCCCTGAAAGAAATATCAAAAGGCTGGTCAGTCATTTGCATTCTCATTTGAGGGGCTATGGAAGCAAAGAATTGAGAATGAATAGCTACAAATATTAATTCTTTTTTAAAAAAACAACACTTGACTCCTTCAGGTACTGGGGTTATTATGCCATTAATTTCTCTTCTTGCTGGAATAAAAACCTTCATAGTGACTACTTAGTGTGGCTTTTCTCCTGTTAAAATAATGTTGTAAGCGCAGATCTCTTAACCCTTGTAAAACTATGAGAAAATGGGTTGAAAAATCCCTCCAAATGTATGGTAATAGCGAAGGTCCAGAGACACAAAGACTTACTTGACCATGTGATGGAGTAAAGAGTCAGGGCCAGAACGGGCACTGCCCACATGGCCGGCAAACCATGCAAACCCAAATTTCCAGTTTGGGAATCCATCCAATGTGGCCCATATGCTCCATCAACCATGGACCAGAAACTGTATTTCTGAGTCTCTCTCCCCAAAATAAAAATTCTAAAGGTCCGGTACAATAGCAAGTGACAACACATTGAGAAGGGAAAGAATCACCTCAATGATTCTCCAGCAAAGGCTCCCCGAGAAAGGGAGTTTTCCAGGTGGTTTGGGGTTGTGATTACATTAGTACCTCAGGAAGCTCAGTGAAAGTGGTTCAACTTTTAGTCCTTGCTCCTGAGCTAAAGTAGGGGATAAATGAGCTCTTCCAAAGCACTGTCCTAATCCACAGAAGGAGAAGCTCAGGGCTCCTCTCACTGACTTCTCATATACCCACTCAAGTATCGGCCAAATACCTACAGAGTCAGTCTCCAGCTTCCAAAACATAATGAGGGAAAACAAGTGTTTTCTATCTCCAGAGGACATCAGCAACTCTCCCCGATCAATTCTGTGATACAAAATTAAATGAGACACAGAGCAATGACAAATCCCTCCCTATCTAGTTCTTGTCTCCCAGTCCCTAAAACAGCATCGGGCATATAAGAACCTACTATTTGTTGAATTTTGCATAACTGGGCTAGTAATTTTACATACTATTTGATAGCCATTTTCAAGTTAAAATACAATAAATATTTCTCTATGTTAAGTATTAGGGAAGCTTCCAGGCACTGGGCTCAGTATTTATTTTACTTTATTTTAGGAGATAGAAAGCAAATAACTCAATGAATCTTGGAGATGGAAATAGATCCCCAAGAGGCCACCTGGGTCTCTCTGCCCACAATCACATCAGCTTTCATATCATACAACACAGATAGACAGACATCTTTGATTAACATTAGGATTAGCCAGTCTAACTTAATAGCTAGTTTACATATCCAGCTACACCACTTATATAAATATGACGAACCCATGTAAAACAGGCAGCAAATAGATTAAAAGAGAATTGTTCACCTTAAACCTTAATTATCTATGGGTTCATCTATAGTTAATTTTAATTCGCTGTCCATTTTCCCTTTCCATAATTTTCAGCTGCCAGTTTCTGGGCGCTCTTAGAAGACAACCGGATTATAATGTCACTAAGAAAAATGTGTTTTTGAAAGAAAAATCCGCTATACAAAGATCACAAATGGCTTTCCAAAATCAAGAAAATGTGGCCTCTGAATTATCCCACTGTTTTTGGAAAGTCTGTGTTACTGCTTCTCCCAGTCCCCTCCTAAGAAGCTGTGGGGTTGAAAATCATTTTCAATTAAGCAACGGAAAACTAAAAAGAAAACATCACACCAGCTGGGCCCATGTACCCACAGCTCTCGGGTGTATCCTAGCTGGTAAGACAAAAAGCAAACAAATCAAAAAACCATTTTCTTTTTGCTCTAAAGAAAACTTCAAGCGATTTTCGTTTAAGGTGGTAAACCAGAAAGCACTTCTAATTTATCGAAGTTATAAATCAGATGAGAGGACAGCCATGATTGAAGTCTAACACCAGCAGCCCTGTCTTGCTGGAGTCCCCAGCACCCTCCCCTTCACAGCTGCCACCATGGGTCCTCCACTGTGCTCTATCGGCCTGTGAACATTCCCGTTGGGGCTGTACCATCTAATCTTTATATTCCATTCATGACTACTGGAATTGATGACAACCTACATCTCCCAGATCATGAGAGCGGGGGGGGGGGGGGGGGGGGGGGGGACTCCATTTTATCACAGTTCCAGCTCATCATGAATTCTCCCCATTTCAACAGTTCAGACTGTTTAAAACTGAGTGCTTCTCTTCACTAAATTGTACCCACTGCTTGCTTCCAGAAATGTTCCCCTATTAAACAAATGCTATTTTGATCATCCCTTTTCAGTATCTAAATATACTAGTATATCTTGTACCAAAAATTTGTATAGTTGGTCTTTATTGCCTTAGAGTTTGTCTCCAGCTGATCATTTGAACGTGTTGAGAGAGGAACCTTCTTTTCTCTAATCTGATGTTTCTCTGTACAGGGATATCTTTCAATGTAACACTCCAGGCCTTTTTCCTGGGCTGCTAATTTGGGGGACAAGAATTAGACATGGGCAGCTTGACCACTTCTCCCCCTCTACTTTCTTAGAGATTAATCTGCATTCTGCTCTGCTCCTCCATTTTATACATGTTGCGGGGAGAGGGGGTGTCAAAGGACAGAGCGGATGGCTGCTAGGAGGAGAACTGAAGTTCTCCCATGGTACCTGGGATGGGTAGGCAAGTCTGTCTAATTCCAGGATTCATTTTAAGAAACTGTTGACCTAAAAAAAAAATAAAGTAGTCAGTAATTTTACCTGCATAAATGGGCTTATTCAGGGATAACAAAGAATTACAATTCCAGACATGGAAGCTATGGCAAAACCACAGGCAAGTCTGGAGAACAAAGGAGAGAAACGTGTGTTTTTTTTTAAGAGGAAAGAGATGGGGGTGTGCGTTGGGAGGGACTTTTACAAACATTGGAGAAAGCTGGGATTTCCAAGTGCAGTGGTTTTCACTGGCAGAGTTATTGAAAGGGCTGAGCTGTTGCCAGGCCAGGGTAGGCAAGTAGAAACTTCTTGTTGGAGATGCAAAGTATGGGTCTCTTCCTGTTTGGGGTAATTGATCATGAGTGGATGGCTGTGAGAGCTCCTCCTACAGGCCCTCCCAACTCTATTTTAGTTGAGGTTCCCTTTATTTTCACAAAACTCTCTTGCCCACAGATATGAACTACATTTTCCAGGATCAGCTTTACTAGTCATAAAGATGATGTTTTATCCTCCATTTGCCCAATTTCTACATCTCTCTCAATCAGTTCTGTTCACAGGCAGGGAAAGATGGTGCTCTGTAATGACTCCATCAAACCTTTACAATTGAGAACTGTCTCTTTAACTAGATCATAATCCACTCCAAGGAGATCTGATCTACTTTCTGCCTTATCATCCAGCACCCCATATTCCAATGGCATCTAATGAGGGTCACAGTAGGCCACTGCATTGCTCAACTCCAGGGGCCGCCATCCTGAAGTGGTGAAACTCCACCACTTCGCAGGGTAGGTGCTCTAGAAATGCTTGCTGAGTTTCAAAGTAATAAATCCTGCTTCCAGTGTCTTCACAGTCACTCAGACCTGCCTCTCTCCCAAATTGTCACTACCCAAGCAAGCCAGAAAAGCAAGTAGAATGGGTTCAAATTGTCAGCTCTGAAATTCTTCCAATGGACAACATGAGTCCCTCCTAGGTGTCACAGACCAGCTTTTCCTCTTAAGAGCAAAGGTATATATAGATATATATTTTTATATTCAAGCCCTTTGACTCCGTTCAGACCTAGATCTTCACAGGACAGCTGGCCTAGAGGGATCTCTCCTAGAATCGAGACTTTGCAGCAGGATCCATTCCACGAAGATATAAGAAAGAAAGTAAATGCACACACACACACACACACACACACACACACACACAATTAAAATTCTGCCTCCTCACCCAACTATCTGCAGTGGAAAAAAACCAAGAAAAGCAAATATTTGAGGTCCTGTTTCTGTGAAAAGGACAAAGAGGCAATGATTAACTTTCTACTAAAGGAAGATCAATACACACATCCAGGAGAAACAGCATCTGACAATCCTACTGAGAGCAAAGGCTGCTGCTGCTGCTGCTACTGTGAGAGCAGCTCTTTTCTGGCGGAGGATGCCCACTGGAGGGGCAGTTCAGGTCAAGCTCCTCCTGCTGGTCACTCTGTGATTCTCACCCCCTACATAGCTCCCTTGGGTCATGTACTTATGAACCTGACACCTAGCCTGGCGGTGGGGTTTTTCAACCCCAGCAGTCAGATAACAAAAGAGGAAGGCTCGAGGACATACCGATGGCCAAGAGACATACAAAAAAATGCTCAAAGTCACTAAACATCAGAGAGATGAAAATTAAAAGGACAATGAGGTATCACCTCACACCTGTCAGAATGGCTACCATCAAGAAATAAACAAAGGACAAGTGCTGGTGAGGATGTGGGGAAAAAGGAACCCTAGTACACTGAATATAATATGTGTTTTCAGATGAGACTGTTCAGGCAAAGGGGCACTGGATTCCACATTCAGTTCATCCACGTTTTCTCCCAACACAAAACTGCTACCAAGACCCACATCTTTTCCTCAGTCTCATCTTGCTTTAAATAACCAAATGCTAAACCTTTCTTGACTCCCCTTGGGGACATTATTTCATCATGATACACCCAGACTCACTTGCAGAACTTAAAAATGTTTCAGATTAGTCCTCTGAATTTTCACTTACGTCTTAGAAGACAGCATAAGAATAAAAAGAAATCTGGGATCAGATAAAAAAAAAAACAACAACAACACAAGAAAAACAGCAAGGCTCAGGTGTATGAGAGTATTTTTGGCCTCCATCATCTTCTCCCTAGCCTGGGCCTTCTCCCAGGTACTCTCTGTAACCAGGCAGCCAGGCTACATTCAACAACAACAGAATCGGCCAAACCACTGCGATTGGCTCTTGGGAAGGGCTGCATGCGCTGGGCCATTCAGCTAGGTCCAGAGGCGGGACCAGGGAATGGCAGCCTGCCCTAGGAAACAG